CGCCGCCGCCGGCGTTTGTAGGCCTCAGGTTTGCACCGTCACGTTGCGAAATTGAAACCGGAGCCCCGGGCGGAGCCACTTCTGCCCGCGATCCGCCCCGGCCCGGGGGTGGGGGGAGCCCAGCCCCCTGCCCGTGGTGCCTGGGTTGGCGGATGGGCCGGAGACCCGAGGTGGCGTGCGGTGTCCGCCCGTCCCATCTGACCCCGCCAGGGCCCCTGGTCCCGACTGTTGGGCGAGTTCTAGGGAGCTTTCGGGAAGGGGAAGAAGGTGCCATTCTGACACCCTAGAAGTCACCGGAGAGGTCACGAATAGGCGGTGACCCTCGGATAGAGCAGGGAGGGTGGGGGTGGGTAGAAAGGGCCGCCGTGCCAACCTCAGGAGAAACCCCGGGGTGACAGTGCTTTCAGAAAGGAGAGTCGGTGCACACTCGACTGTGAACACTGCAGTTTTCCAGGGGACGGCGACCCACGTTCGCGGAGAGCGGTGGTCACCCTGAATCCCGGGGCGCCCCACTCGCCGCCCATTTTTGCCTCGATGCTTTGTGGGAAGTGTAGTTCCGGGGTGCCGCAGGCCCACGCTGGGGTTACAAATACTGAATTTTCATGGCACACGTAAGATAATATCTGATTGCCTTTTGGGAGGTTAGTTGAAATGCTTTAGGTTGTTTGAGGGCTACCCCCCTCCCATGCTGCTCTTCAGTTTATGACAAAAACAAGAAAGGTGTTATTTGGAGATGATGTGAGTTTTAAATGGAAGGAAGCTTGGGTGAGGTGTTGCAAGCTTTGAGAAGCTTGTGTTGTTAAAGCCCCTTCTGAATTTCCATATGAAAGTAGTTATAAACATAATTTATACTTCTTTGGTGCTTGGCAGTTTAAAGGTACTTTTATATACATGATCTCACTTTTACCCTCATAACAGCCTTATGAGGCAGGTAGGTAGGAGTTATCCTGTTTTAAAGAGGAGGCAGGTTTGGAGAGATTAAGTTCCTTGCTGCTTTGACACAGAACTGGTGGAGCAGGAGTACTGTTTGCTCTTTTTGAAGCTGAAGTAAACACTTGGTGTGACCCTGGGCACGATGGAGAGTCAGAGTAGACAAGGTCTCATGGTGTGGTTAGACGTAGACATGGGCACATACCCACAGTTGACTGCTTGACTGTCACTTCCAAGTAGGAGCACCCCAGGCTTTCTGAGATCAGTTCCCTGATTTTTATTTTTCACATTTTTTTATTATGGTAAAATACACATAGTATTTACTATCTTAGCCTTTTTTAAATATACAGTTCAGTGGCATTAAGTACATTCACACTGTTGTGCAGTCATCACTGCCATCCATCTCCAGAACTCTTTTCATCTTGCAGAACTGAAACTTTATACCCATTAAACAACAACTCCTCATTCCTTCCTTCCCCCCCCAACCCCTGGCAACCACCTTTCTACTTTTCTGTCTCTATGATTTTGACCAGTCTAGGTACCTTGGGTAAATGGAATTATACAGTACTTGTCTTTCTATACCTGGTTCATTTCATTTAGCATAATGTCCTCTGGGTTCATCCATGTCGTAGTGTGTGCCAGAATTTCCTTCCCTTGCATGTATAGACCGCATCTTATCCATTCATCTGTCTGTGGACACTTGGGTTGCTTCCACATTTTAAACATTAGGGAGTGTTGCTGCTATGAGCATGGGTTTACAAATATATCTTTGAGACTCTGCTTTCAATTCTTTTGGATATATACCCAGAAATGGAATTGCTAGATCATGTGGTAATTCTGTTTTTAATTTTTTTTTTTTCCTTTTTGTGACGGGTAAGGGGATCACAACCCTTGGCTTGGTGTCACCCACACCGCGCTCAGCCAGTGAGCGCGCCGGCCATTCCTATATAGGATCTGAACCCACAGCGGGAGTGCCACTGTGCTCCCAAGCGCTGCACTCTCCCGAGTGCGCCACAGGGCCGGCCCTTGTTTTTAATTTTTTTTAGGAACTGCCATGCTGTTTTTTTTTTTTTTCCTTTTTGTCTTTTTTACTGACCGGTAACGGGATGTCGTGCCGTACCGGGGACCGTACCGGCAATGGGATCGCAACCCTCGGTGTTGCGTACGCACCGCGCTCAGCCAATGAGGGGGAACCGGTCTCCACATGGGATCCGAACCCTCAGCGGGAGCGCCGCCGTGCTCCCAAGGGGCGCACTGGCACCAGGCCGGCCCATTTTTATTTTATTTTTATTTTTATTTTTTTTTGTTTGTCCTTTTTGAGACCAGCCGCACCGCGCTCAGCCAGTGAGCGCACGGGCCATCTCTATATAGGATTCGAACCCGGAAGCGCCGCAGTCTCCCGAGTGCGCCACTGGCTCGGCCCTGCCATGCTGTTTTTTATAGTGGGCGTACCATTTTGCTTTCCCACCAAAATTGCGCAAGGGTTCCAGTTTCTCCATATCCTGATCAACACTTGTTATTTTCTGTATTTTTCAGTAGTAACCATCCTAATGGGTGTGAGGTGATCTGATTTTTTAAGTTGACGTATTGCATGATATCTGAGTTCCTGTCGTAGCACTAAACACATTAAAATCTGAATTACTAGTAGGAATGGGAAACAAAACTAGGGGAAGAATTGGATGTCATTCTAAAGTGGCTGAAGTATTTGTGTATATGCAGTCTGCTACTGTGCATCAGGTACCTGTTAAGTTGCTGGTAGTACTTCTGGTTAAGTACTTTAGCAGCTAATGGAAAAGTTATGAACAAATTCTAATCCTTGCTTTTTCATTGATTTCTTTGGTCAAATCATTGATCATCGGTCACAGGTATCTGTTGACTTGGTTTCTGTATTTCTTCAGGGGAGATTAAATACTTGGCAGTTGGTACCTTAGGATAACTTAACTTGACACATACATAATATACTGGTTAAGAGGTTTCAAATAAATCACTTTTAGTTTTAGAATGGCTATAGTGAAAGGGGAGATGGCTGGTAAAAGGTGCTTTTAAAAATTCCACCCTAAAAAAGGAGGTAATTGTTTGAATATTTGCTATTATTTCTGACTAGTGGATGATAATAAAATAATGTAGTCGATACCAGCTTTATTTTCTTGCCCATAACACTTTATTGTGAAAATCTTCAAACAAAAGGAAAGTTGAAAATGAATGTTCATATGCCTACTGCCTAGATTCTACCATTGATAGTTGAATCGCTTTATCATATGTGTTTGTTCCTCTTTCAGTCTGATTTTTTTCAAATTAACAATTTTCTTTTTTACTTTATTTAAAAGAAATTGTGGTAAAATAAACAAAACATAAAATTTACCATCTTAACCATTTTTAAGTTCAGTGGCATTAAGTACTGACTCCATCTTTTTTTGATGTATTTCAGAGTAAATTGGTGATGCCTTCACACTTTCCCCCTAAATATTTCAGCACCAGCATTATTTTAAATGATTTGTATATATTCTTTTATTTCTCAGAAGAATCCTAGGAGGGAGGTAGAATTATTATTGCTGTTTTATGGAGTAATAAAAAGGCTTCTTATGTCCTTCCCCTGAGTCCTGTAGCTAGTAAGGGGCAGAGTTGGAATGGGATCCCAGGTGTCTCAGACTCTAGTATGCGTTCATAACCAATCTTTAGGCCATATTACCTCTATTTACCATAGTCGGTGTGTTCATGCTGATGAAAAGTTCAAATCAGATGCATTGCTAGAGTCACAGCGAGATGTTACTTTAATCCAACTATTCGCTACTTTCCATTGCTGTTGGGTACAAAAGAAACACCAAAGTCCACCAAAGGAATTATAATGCTATCAAGGAAGAGGATAAATATCTGTAAATGGATATATAAGGACCAAAAGGTATAATTATATGATATGGATAATACCATCTATGATTCCCAGGTCTGTTTTTTGAGATGTGTAGCTGTGAACACTGCATTTCTATAGATTTCAGATCAACATTTTTTACCTTTGGACTTGAAGTAATACACATATCATATCAATTTAAATTAAATCCATGGCCACTTTCAGTTATATCTGCTACTGTACTTTGCAGGAGCTTCTGAGAAGCAGAACTGAGTCTTATGTTTCTCTTTTATTTATTTATTTCTTTTTTAGAGTAGCATCATTGGGCATGAAAGTTGCTAAAAGGTAGGCAGCATAATTTTGGGTTGAGATATGTTAGAATTTGCTATCCTTTCATAAACCTTACGTAATTCTCACTTTGAGTTAGGTGTTTATAATAGG